CTATCTCCAGCAACTCCAGTCCATTTCTAAGTGGCACCACCCATCTCACGACATCAAGATCGGCTCTATAGTCTAGAGTTATCGTTCTTCAGCCTGGTAGAGATGGATTCACCAGGGTGGTAACCATCAAGACGTCCAGCTCCACTCTACAGCGACCTATCGCTAAGCTTGCGCTTCTACCAGTCTCGACCAGCAACTTCTGATCTACAAGACCATCTCATGAAGATCTTCTCAGGAGCACTATGCTGCTCATCGGTAGTTCGTCTCCACGACTGGGTTCACGACTGCTCTGTTCTTGTCCAGACTTCCATGACGATTTATGCCCTTCATCTTGGAGCCTGGGCTGGAGCGGAGGCTAGTCAGTCTAGACCTGCGGAATTTACGCCTCCAACGATTCTGGCTGAGCTGGTATATGATTGTCGCCGATGTACTCCAGACGTGATGTTGACCATCGAGTAATTATTGTCCTGACTCGGTTAATCTCTTTTGTGTTCTAGATTATTTCATTAACGTCAGCAGTTGCTGACGGCGGGGTAGAATGTTCGGTTTTCTACCGAATTCTTTTCACACACACACACACATCCACACACTGATGACCCGCTCAGCTGTTCCGTACGCTCGCCTCAGATGACCAGTGGCTTCTCACCTCTGACACCTGAGGCGCCACTTGATAGACAGGTGTAATTGACCATCGCGATGATCGATACCTCCCACCATGCGGCTTATCACTCTCTCTCATTTGCATATCGTCGTTCGAGAGTGGTGACGTGTTTTTCGCAGAACTTCGCTTTCTACATTAATTGATCCGCTCATTATTAGTCGTTCTCGGAAATACTCTTATAATTCTTCGAATTATATACTGTTTTTGTTCAGCTCATTTATTGTGACCTTCTCAAGTGTAATTAGTGCCTTTATTGACAATTAAAAGTTGACTTTTTGTGACCAACGCCACGCGAGTGTTTTTTTGATCCTCTCCACACTCTCCCGTAATCCACTTAAATCTCGTTCATCGATTAAAAATATCCCTCAAACCAGATCCCGCTTCGAACATTTATATGTCATATATTTATATATTTTCGATGTTGGTGAGTAAATAATCGGGGGGAATAAACAAAATCATTTCATCATTGCAATGATGCTACAGTGGTCTAGGAGTGCGGAGGGGAGTTGCGGTGTATTCGCAGTATAAAAATATAAAGAGAAAGACAACTCTGGAATGGAGACTGTGACCCACTGTTGACTCAGAGTTTATTTTTTTTCCCTTTGTATGCACCCCAACTTCCCTCCGCACTTCTAGGCAACCGTAGAATCATTTCAATGATAAAATGATTCTTTTCACTTACCCATATTATTTATCCACTGACATTGAAAAGATGTCCAATAAAGAGAAAGATAACTCTGGGATGGAGGCTGTGACCTAGGGTTGACCCAGAGTTGATATTTTCCCACTTTTATCTCACTCCAACTCCCCTCCGCACTTCTAGATCACTGTAGTATCATTCCAATGATAAAATGATTCTTTTTATTCCCCCCCATGATTTATTCACCGACATTGAAAACATGTTCAATAAAGCGAATAAATCTGAGTTGCGGACTGTGACCCAGTGTTGACGCAGAGTAACTATTTTTGCACTTGAAATACACTCCAACTCTTCTCCGCACTTTTAGGTGACCGTAGAATCATTCCAATCATAAAATGATTTTTTTTTTCACCCCTATAATCTATCTACTGACATTGAAAACATGTTAAATAAAGAGAAAGTCAACTCTGGGATGGAGAGTGTGACCCAGTGTTGATCCAGAGTCGGCATTTCATCGCTCAAACAATCCGTGCCATTCTTTCCCTTATTTAAATACACCTTCCGTGATCGCTCTGGACGTACAATTGTCTCTAGATCTATTCAGCAAAACTGCTAACTTATTAATCAATCAAAATCATCAGTGTGGGTTTTGGAGTTTACCCAGAGCTAGCACATTATCGTTAAAACATATTCATTTAATTATCCACATCCTTCGACAATGTCTCTATATACTTAAGGTAATTCAGCAATAATGTGAAAAAGACTGTAACACCCCCTGTGTTTAGATCCCCCTGACATTCACGATGTAAGATGCTTTCAAAGTGACGGTTTAAGGAAGAGATTCGGACAGTTGAAAATAGAACTTGGGCAAATATTATTTTCTTGGTTTTGAATAGACTTTTGGATTCGTTGGTATGGAAACTCACTTGTGATTCATCTACGTACGATAACGTGCAACGTTGGATCATTCTAGGACTTTTTTTCTTACTTTGATAGCATCATTTCCACTGTCGTAGCAAGTTTAACTCTTTAACAATCTTGTCACGATCACAAGTTTTAAAGAGTTTTTCAGTTTTTAAATTTTAAATTCAACGTTAATATTATCTTCAGAGGAATCAGCTCATCACCATATTTTTCTCTCGTTTGTAATGTAGAATCCTAGAGGGAATATTGTACTTGTTCAATTTATTTAGGACGTTGCTAAACTTTGTCAAATTTTGTTGAAAGTAATCGAGTTGAATAAATTTGGTGAATATTAACCAAATTTGTTCAAGAAAACCAAATTACCTCCAGATGAAGCAAAGATTGGCGAAAATTGACTTGTCAAAAGAATGTCTAACCAGTTGTCGACTTTGACCAAATTAAGTAAAGTATGAATATATTTGGCCAAATCCAGAAAATTATAACAAAATGACACAGTTTCAGAATATGACTTTGCTTCGCCAAATCAGGCAGAATCAGGTGAATTTCAAATAAGTAATGCAAAAAGTGAGTATTACGGTGTTTACGGAATTTGGGACCACCGGAAATCGGGACCAGTTTTGATGGAATATTTTCCATGGTTTTTTAAATGGAATTATTTCCAAAATTAATTTTTTCCAGAATAATTTTTCGCGAGTGAATTCACGGAATTCCGGTTTGACAGAATTTTTTTAGAAGTTCCGAAAATTTCCGCGAGAAATTATTCAACGAATCAATTAATCGCGAAGAAAATCCGTGAAAACGAATTTAAACGAAAGAAATGTCACCCACTAATCCGCCAAGCAGAATTCCACGAAAAAATTCTTTCGAAATTTCGTGAATCGATCCGCAAAAAAATATTCCATCGAAAAAAATGGATTTTCAAAATAATTCCATGAAAAATCCATAGAAAAATATTTCATGAAAATCAATCCGTGATTCCGGTGCAATTGGTCACGAATAATGTAGAGTTGCTCTTTTTCGGCGGGTTTCTTGAGGTCGTTCAATTCTGAAGGGTTTCTCGAGCTCTTTCAGTTCCGGCGAGTTCCCCGGTTTCGTTGGATTTCGACGAGTTCGTCGGTTTTGGGGGCTTCGGCGGGTTCCGCGAGTTTGTCGGTTTTGGGGGTTTCGGCGGGTTCCGCGAATTTCTCGATTTTGAAGACTTCCTCCGAATTATCGGCTTCATCGAGTCCATCCATTTTGGAGAATCTGGGTGGGTCAGGATGATAGCGGTTGTGTTCAGGTAGTGCAATTTAAGTTCGACAGGAATTCACGTACCAATTGGCTCGCTAGGGACGTAGTGATGATCCCGGGTGCATCAGGACGACGGTGATCATGTGAGATTTTGGAATAAGTAAAAAAATGTAATATAATATTTTAAAAAATGTAATAGAATAGAAAAAATTATTATTTTAAAATGAATGACCGACAGTAGTATAAAAATCTATTGCTATTCACGAAAAGAAAGAAAGAGCTAAAATGTGAAAGAAATTCTCTTATCTTGATCTGGCGGATCAAGAGTTGTTGTACTAGAGTTTTTACGTAATATGGTTCGTAGGGAACTTTATTCTACCCATATGTGAATTGGTAACATGAAAACCCTTGCTGGATCTTATGTTTGGTCGCTTGGAATTGATAATGATATCCAGAGACTTACTAAACGGTAAATTGTGTTTCGAAAATGCAACCAATCCTTCTAGAGCGGAATTGAATTGATAAAGATACCGTGAAGGTTCACACATTACAGTCTATATTGATTTCTTACAAGTAAACGATGTTGAGATGAGATGTATGGATGTTAGCTTGATGAAGAGCAGTACAAGTAGTGAAACAACATCAGCTCTAATGGAGCACTTCGCCACCTGCGGAATTAAAATAGTTATTGTCAGTGACAACGTACCCAGTCTGATCTCTGATAAATTTGAGTCTTCCTTCAGGAAATTGGGAATTCTCCATGTTCGTACAGCTTCATATCGCCCAACATCAAATGGTGTAACTGGACATGCTGTTAGGACTTTCGAAAAGCATTACAAAGTGTTACGGAAAGAGGATTATTCGATGAGAGTTGCTCTGAATGAATTCTTGTTTAGTTATCGTTCCACACCACGCTGTACCATAGATTGTGCACCAGCTGAACTGCACTTAGGTAGATGTATGCGTATTAAACTAGATTTATCAAGATATAATTTGAAGAGTTACGTCTTACAACATCAACTTCGTCAATAACATTACCCGGGTCTACAGTTCGATCTGCTGTTGTTCGAGATTCTGTGATGGCAAATGATGTTATGCGCAAAAAAGGGGTCTGAAAGAGAGGTCATCAACCAGGGATTCCCAGTAACTCATACTGTTCGTATTAGAGACGGTTCCTAACCTCACCATCTTCCACCGACAGCTGCTTCGGGTCTTTGAGCATCACACGAGGACTCAACACTCACGCACTCTTCTAGTTCTGTAAGGAATTTTTCGAGTCTACCAACAACCAGACTGAGTGATCACGCTTTCCTTCCACCCTTTAATTGTCAATAACTATAAGTTTTGCCCGGCGATAATAATAATAATAATAATATATAATTTCCTACGGTGTTGTTGTTTTTCTATTGCTTTCAATCTATTTAAGCGGTTTAATTTTCGATGGTTATGACAATCCTATTTTCTTAGTAGATTGATAAAAGGGCACGGTTTAATAAAAAGTAGAAGATTCTCCGGCTCATTATGTAATCCTTTATTCAGGCCCTTGTGTAACCCAGCATAGTATACTTCAGGGTTTGCTCCCACACAATATGATCCATCCCCTTCTGGGCTTCATGAAACGTAACTAATTGCAGTCAAGCTAGTTCTTAGAGGCTACTTTTTGTAAAAAAAAAATCCAAGTCTAGTCATTCACAATGATCCAATCACTCTAACAGTCTATCTTTCAAAGCTTTCTCGAGCGTGCTTTCTCTTCGAAAAATTGGTCGGCTGCAATGACATAAACAAAGTAATGGAAAGTAATGGTAATAACCATTAAATTACACATAAGTTCTCAGGATCAACCAATCGACATCGATCCATCCTTTATAAGTTTTTGTTATTTTTCGCCCATTTATTATTATTGTTTTGCCTTCGTCAATTTCTGAAATTGGTAATTGTTTTGAAATGCATCGTCGAAATCTACTGAGTTTCTGTCTCGAGGAGACCTTTTGCCTTCGCAAGTAAGTCTTGTGCAAGGCTCTATCAGATGGGAATTGTCGAGAGACCATCTGGGAGACCTTTCTCTGATCCTAGCAAATGTTTCTTTGAAACGAGATTCTTTTCTTTCTCCCGGTGAACTTTCTGAAGAAGTTCTTCGATGATCTTTTGAATCGGTACCACGGATTGATTCTTTCCTCTCTCTACATTTTGAAGATTTAATTAGCTTCTGAGAACCTTTTTCAGAAGTGCTGGAACAGAGATCGGTTAAATTCACAATTCTACGTTCTCTGCAGTGTTGATCAGGGCACACTTGGTTATTTCCTCCATAATCTGTAATATTTATATATTTCCTTTCAATGATATGATTTTAAGGCCCGCTTGGAGTAGCTGGTTATCTCGTATAAATAGTTTATTTTTCTTGTTCTTTTATCTGAAACTGGTGCAGTTCTGCATGAAACAAAGCTGCAGCAAATAAATGCATGTAGACTGAAACATACATAGAAAAAAACTAAAATGCAGAGTCTGTACTTTTTCATTAAAATGGGAGGATAATTGTAAAAAGCACAAATTAGAAATATCTGATTTGATCGACTTGGGGAGGGGGGAATAAAAGAATAGTATATTGTTCCTCTAGGGGAGCAAAGTATCTTTATTTCCATGAGGCACATGATCTTTCATTCTCGTAGGAACTGGAAACTGCGATCTAACCGAGCGAAGCGAGGTGAAGGTAGCGATTAACCGTCAACTTAGCGAATGAACTGAAGGAGGGTACAAGAAGTAGGATGAACATTACAGAATTTTCATGTTCGGTACTTTTTGTACCGCCCCCTCCCCCCTATGTCGACCGCTAAATAAACGGCTGATCGCCACGTCAATTCATTGCGATCTAATTCGGAGACATCTGCCAATTATAAGGTAAAGAAATTAAAAATTTTTGAGAGAAGGAAATATTGCTGGTGTTTTGCACTCCAACAAAACACGGATTATATGCGGAAGCCGATACACGGCATCCCTAGATGAGAGACGCTGTTGGGTACTCGCCTTTATCCTCCCTCTCTTGGCCCTTCTAGTAGTCGTCCGTAGTAGAGTGGGGTCACGTGGTCACCAGCCTGCGCGGATACGTCCGCGTCTTTCGTCATAGAGGAACTCTCAGCAGCAAGATTTCAACCGGGATGCCGTGTATCGGCTTCCGCATATAATCCGTGTTTTGTTGGAGTGCAAAACACCAGCATTATATGCTATTGGCCGATACACGGCATCCCTAGATGAGAGTGTTGTTTGATTTCTGCTGGTGACCACTCAACGCTATGTGATTAGAGGAGAGTATTATTTATTCTCTGAAGGTGTTTTAAATTATTTAAATCTTACATGAAGAGTGACAACTTTTATAAAATTTGGTCTTTAGTTATGAAAATACATATCTGTCAGCTTTTCAAATAGGAACAAAAGTCTTTGATACTAGACTAGTTCTCTCTATAGTTGGAGTGTCTATCCTCCTGCAGTAATGCTTTCTAAATGTCTCTGCGCATTTCCAATTTCCGCGTGACAGGATCTCTTCTAGGGGTAGGTTATCTAGCCAGGCTCTAGATGCGACCGCTGAACGAATGCTTCCCGCAGGGGCTTCTATGCCTGCGTTTTTAAGAGCAGAGCGGATCCATCCACCAATCGTGGATCTTGAGGCAGGCTGCAGAGGTCCTTTCAGGGAGATGAAAAGTGCGTCGCACTCTCCAGCGCTACGTCGAGGTTCTGAGCGCTTCAGCATTGCTCTGATCATAGTTACCGGGCACAACCAACGATTGGGATGTTTTAAGAGGCGCCAGCCTGATTGCCTAAATGTGGACCGATCAGTCTTGGATCCAAAAGCTGGCCAAAAGATCATTTCCTCACCTAAGTTGATAACCGACTCCTTGGCGATTGACAGAAGGGTCAAGTCGTGGACCCTCCGACCTGAAGCTAAAAGGAGCAGTGTTGCCGTACGCCTTGAGAGTTCAAACAAGGTTAGGTCTGGCGTTCCACGGGACAACCAGTTCATCACGATCTCAGCGTCCCAGATAGGAGACCTGATCTCCGGAGGTCTGCTGATATTGATGGCTTTTAGGACCTGTCGTACCAAAAAATGTGAAGTTAAATCTTCAGATGATCTGCCGGCACAGAATGTTGTTACTGCCGAGCGATGCAACAGAATGGTATTGTAAGCCAACTTTTCTCTGAGGAAGAGACCAGCTAAAACCCTGGCCAGCTGTGGAGCCTTAGGCGAGGTGGGAGCTATGCCCTTGTTCTCGCACCATCTTAGCCATCTCTGGATAGGGGCACGATAGGTACCGATGGTGGATTGGCGCCAGCTGGTAGACAGTAATTGTCTCTCTGGAGAGGACCAGTCGTTGGTTAGCGAGGTCCAGCCCCAATCTTCCACACCTGGAGACAGATTTTTTCCACCTGTGGCGGGGGGAGTCCCGTGGTCAGGTCTAGCAGAGTTTCCTTCAGATTCTGAATTTTTATTGGCGGTGAAACCGCTCTGCTGGCCAGATCTGCTCTCCAGAATGTCTGTTCCCACTCGGGGGCTATTACCAGATAGGTTCCCTGGCACTTGTTGAGGTGTGCTAACGTTCTGGGTAGTAGACTGGGCGGAGGGAAGACCCAGGCTAGCTTGAACCGCCATGGCCGACTGAAGGCGTCGTGAAAGGATGCGGATTGATCGGTCGAGTCCAGTGAGACGTAGTGAGTGACCACTGCTGACCTTCTGCTTGCGAAGAGGTCGATTTCTGGGGCCCCCCATAGTTTGAATATCTGTTCGGTGGCTGCTGGAAGGAGGTGCCATTCTGGGAGTGGCTTTCCTCTGGAGAGACTGTCGGCAATCCCGTTGTACCTTCCGGGGAGATACGACGCGGATAAGGTGATTTGGAAATCGTCCACAAGCTGAAGGAGACGATAGGTTAGCTCCAGGAGATTGAAGGACTTTGTTCCACCCTCTTTCCTTATGTATGCAGCTAGTGACCTGTTGTCTGTCTGCAACATGACATGCGAGCCCTGAATTTGAGGGGCTACCTCGCGTAACGCTGAGAGAGCTGCAAACATCTCCTTCTTGTTGGAGTGCCAGTCTCTCTGCTCGTTTGTCCAGGTCCCTGCCATATGATGAGATCCTAACTGGGCTCCCCAGCCGCTGTCCGCTGCGTCCGTCGTCAAGAAGAATTGGACTGGTGGCTTGTGGAGTGGGGAGTTCAGGTGAACTGCCTCCGACCACCACTTCAGCTCGCTTTTTGCGGTTGTGGGGATATGGAGTTTTTGGCGAGGTCTCCTCTGGTTGAAATTCGTTAAAAAGATCTGTAGGTAACGAGAGTGGAGGCGCCCTCTGGGTATCACGTAATCGGCGAAGTTGAGGTGCCCCAAGAGTGTTTGGAGTTGCTTTAGACGGCAGACTCCACTGGACTTGAGTTCTTCTGATAAAAGGTGGATCTTGCGTGCCTTTTTTACTGGGAGGGACATGCGGTTCTCCACAGTATTCCAGGTTAAACCTAGGAAGTCCAGTTCTTGGCAGGGCTCCAGGATGCACTTGTTTAAGTTGACGTGCCAGCCCAAAAACTCTAGTCTCTTCATTGCCTGGATGGCTTGAGAGTGTGCTGTGGCTCGGTTCTGGGAGGCCAGCAGGAAGTCGTCTAGGTAGACGACGACCCTCACACCTTGTGCTCGAAGGGTCTCCGCAACCCAATTCGATACCATCGCAAAGGTGTGAGGGGCAGATGAGAGGCTAAAGGGCAAGCTCGTCATCTGGTAGAGCTCCCCGTTGTAAGACAGACGGAGGAGCGACCGGTGGTTCCGCACCACCGGTATGTGATAATATGCGTTTGATAAATCGATTCTTACCAACCAATCTCCGTCCTGGAGAAAGTCTGGGATCTTGTGATGTGAGATCAACTTGAATTTTTTGGTCCTTACGTGTTGATTGAGTCCCCTCAGGTCGAAAATTGGTCGAAACTCTCCGTTGTTCTTCGTTATTAGGAACATGCGGGAGATGAAACTTGGTCCAGGGTTGTGAGGTCGCTCTAGAACATTCTGAGACAACAATAACTGAATTTGGTTTGACATGGCAGATGATACCTTTGTTTTGAAGGGAGAGGAGTGCCAATTTGGGGTGAGAGTTGGTTTCGAGCACAGGGGGATTCGTGATGCTGAGATGATTTTTAAAACTGACTGTGGGGCTCCCAGCTCCTCCCAACGCTGTACAAAAACTGACAATTGGCCTCTTGAGAACGGCTGAGCCGTCGGGTAGTCATTTATCCTCTGGTTTCCGAAAGGAATCATTTGACCTGGGCCTAGGCTGAATCTTCTTAGTGTCACCCCTTGGTTTAAAGCTCTGGTTACGCGACACAGGACTCGGCCTCGTGGTGTTACCTGAGAGTGTACCTCTCCCTGTACCCCGTTGAAATTCACGCTTGAATGTTGGCCTTTTAGTTGCGTAAGATGGGGTACCAAGCCAATTCTGAGGTCCTCCTAATGATTGAATCAGGGGATTCAGACTGTCCTTGCCAAAGAGGTAATCCACACTCGGAGGGATTTTCCTCATGGCGGCCTGTACGTTCTTATTCTGGACCTCTGCTAACAGGCGCTCTCGTCTGATCTCTACACATTCGGCCCTCTTTCCGCAGATAATCTGAAGAATTTGCGTGAAGTTGGACGCCATCTTCGATTCCGGGCCGAAGGTTGAAGCCAGTCTGTGGAACAGCGTGTCAGGGTTCAACTCAGTAGGGTTGTTGGATGTCCAATTGACTACTTCCTGAAGACCCTCCTGCAATAATTCTTTCTGTTCGAGAACGGCATTTGCCAAACTTGCGAGGACTCGTTCTGTTGGGGCGACTGAATCCCTTCTCTTGTCGAGGTGGCAGAGCTCCTCGTTTATTTTCAGGTCGGTGAAGCCTGGGTACGCTTGAAAATACCTAAGCGCTTTAGAAAACCTCACCTCTTTCCAAACAGGGGTGTTGAGACGTTGTAATGAGGCCAATGTCTCGAGACGCTTCGGCACTGCGGGTTTGATTGCCTTGTTTTCGTCAACGTCTGTCTTCAACTCACCAAACTCTAGTACTCTGGGTTGCACGGGCCTCGTCAGGAAGTTTTCCTGCCCTCGATCCGATTCGTCTTCTGTCTTTTGTTGATCCTGGGGGAGAACCATTGATGCCAGGAAGTTTATCTGGTTCTGGAGGTTCGACAATACCTCGTCATCGTAACGGCTTCGTTTTGCGGCCGGGGACGAACCGATGCTTCGGTCGCCATCTTTGATTGGAGAATTTTCTCTTTCCGAATTTTCGGGATTTTCCGAGTCTCTGTCGTCTTGGACTATATGATATATACTCTCAATGTCACGAACAGACTCCTGTGACATTTCGGAAATGACTGCGAGCGTAGGAAAGAGAAATAATACACTTCTAAAATTACGACTATGTCGAGCAAAAGTTTTTTGGCGTGTTAACACGGCGAAAGTACTCAACGCTATGACGAAAGACGCGGACGTATCCGCGCAGGCTGGTGACCACGTGACCCCACTCTACTACGGACGACTACTAGAAGGGCCAAGAGAGGGAGGATAAAGGCGAGTACCCAACAGCGTCTCTCATCTAGGGATGCCGTGTATCGGCCAATAGCATATAATATACATATGCTCCATGTGCTGCGTACGGAATAATTTACATTCAACATACTTCCCCTCCGCCGCTCCGCCTCTCTATGGCTGAAGTAACAGCTGATCGCCGCCTCAATTTTTCTATATCTCATTTGGAGACGTCTGTCAATGTTTCAGTATTTAAAAATATAAAATCATTTTTCAGAGAATGACTTTGTAAAATAACGGCCCACTAACCGCACAGGAAGATACTTTTTTTTATCGCCCCCCCCCCCCTGCGCTCCATCAAATCAGATATTTCCAACTTGTGCTTTTGTATAATTATCCTCTCATCTTAATGAAAAACACGGACTTTATATTTTTGGTTTTTTTTTTTACTTTTTTCCAGCCTACATTTATGTGGTGCAGCTCTGCTTCATGCAGGATTGCACCAAAGTTTCAGATAAAAAAAACTATCTATACGAGATAATCAGATACTCCAACCGGGCCTTAATTACTAATCTAATCTCAGAAAATAGTGACTCTGTACTCAAGGACATGAATACATACAATAAAAAATGATGTATGTTTTACTTTTTAAAAGCTAAAATTGTATAAGTTATAAAACTATCTATTCCATGGGCGAAACCTAATTCAATATTGCGACGTTAAGCATACTAGTTTGCATGAGGTTAACTGAGTTACATAGATGAAAACTAATTGAACATCGATAATTCCAACACAATATGTAGATGGCCGAAAAGAAAAGCTGGCAACTGCAATTTTTTGGAAGATGAACGTATTATGAAGTGATATCACATTTGGAAACGTAACAAGTATCACGTGTCTGTCTCCAAACTTTACGTCTAGGCGATAAACCTCATAAAATTGATCTAATCGCGTCTTGTGAAATAAAGAATACATAGTTGGAACGTGAGCATATCACTTTCACTTTTGCAACTTTTTTCCAAGCTTCAAATTGAATAATTTTTCTCTTTATTCGCAAATATATTACCAATGTCGAGACCGCTCATGTCGGGCTTTGGAAAATTATGAAGTTGAATATTAATTTTATTAAAATGGTTATTGGCCTATCAGCGGTAATATTCAAATTGAAAAGATCCCATCTGAGAAGTAATGATTTTGAAAAAATTAGCACAACCTGCTGAAAAAATTTTCCCTCCCAATAAATGTATCTTACCAACTTTCCTCTAAACGGCAAGTAACGGCACTTAACGTTCGGAAATAAGTATCAATTACAAATAAAAAAATTGTTATCGAACTACATTAATCTTCAGTTTCCTTTACTAAATGAGTTCATCATCACGATTACCTTCATTCAATGTGCATTTACAACAATGGCAGTTCGGTTTGTCTTTCCTTAAAATATTGGCAATCCTCTCTCGAAGACTAAATTCATTTCTTCCTCTTTCTTTGCTCACTTTCTTCTTTTTTTTCCCCCTGCCTTCCTTATTTTTATGTGGCTTTTCTAATCGAGTTGTCTGCTGCTGTTTATCCCGCTGACGCTTAATTTTACGTGCTCTTTTTTTCTCTCTCATGCAAATAAATGATGGGGAACGTGAAGAAATAACTAATGACTCTTTTCCCAATTTTGTGCCCATGTAGTCAGTGCTGTTAGTTGTCCAACCATATTCAATATCTGATTGTCTTTGGAAATGATCAGTTAGGGGGCAACGATCATCACATGTTTTCGATTCCTTTACCGACTTCCCTGATAAATGAAATCGATTTTTATATGCAGATATCAACGCGGCGACTGAAATCATGGCCATAATGAAGAGAATAAAAATTCCGAAAGCTATCCAAAGAGTTCGGAAGGAATTGTCGACTGTGGCATGAGGTCGTTTTTCAGATCTGAAAGATAATTTTGTCATTAGAAGCATGCTAAAAAGAGGGTCCTTTATATACGAATTTGCAATTTGAAATTACCAAAAAATTCATAAACGAATATTATACAATTCAAGCCCCTTAAATATCTCAATAAATGCTTGTGAACTTGATGAATCGACTACTTTTCACCTGAATGGACAAACGAAAAAAAATCAATGTAGATGAGATTGGATTATGTCATCTACATTGATTTTTTTTCGTTTGTTCAATCTCAAACTTTGGGGCAAATCGGCATCAGTGCGCCTTGATGCTCTACCAAGGCAGATATTCTCGATTTCCTCCTTATTACAATAATTCCTTCATGAAAATTAAAAATAACTGACTGTATATTTTTACTCTTCCATTAGTCTTTGTGAAATAGATATTAATTTTTCCGTACTGCTTCTGACGATTTCTCTTTCGAGAATTCATACTGCATACTTTTCTAACTCCAAAACTCTTGTGGTTAGCTAGTCCTCGTCTTCGACCCGAACGCCAATTCTAAATGATTGAAACCCCATTTCACGAATATGGAAATATACTACCTCCGGAATATCTCTATGTGAGCCAGAACTGCACTAAAGTTTGAGATACAAATGAAACGAAATCAGTTTAAATTAAATAGTATAGTCTGGAGACTACTTGAATTGATTAGAAAGTAGATTGATATTGGAGAATCTCGTACGGCTTCTGACCTGAAAGACCCGAAATCATGACGACGTACTTCTGCTGGCTCTGATTTGAAATTGGATGTAACGATGAAATCTTTCTTCAATTGTTGCGGATGGCGTTCGATTGTGGGAGTTGGTAACGAGGAGACATGTGTTTTAACAGCTGCATGAGAAGTTCCGAGCGAAATTAAACTCTTTTTATTATTTACCTTCTTTCTTTTCTCTGAACCTATCAGAGACGCTCTTCTCACGAGGTATTTCGATTCTCTTTTGTAAATTTGTGGGTGAGTAAGGTTGCTCAGAATATCCACGAATCGTCTATTCCGTGTGATATAATTCGCAAGGTCAGGTCGGTGAAGGCAGCGGAGACCTACTTCCAGATTTATTCGGGCGAGTTCATTTTCATTCTCTGGATAAAAACAATGCAATGAGGTCAGTGTGAAGGTTTTATACTCTGCATTTGATATAATGCCATTCATGCGTTGTGCGTTTCTGATGACTAAATTATTCCACTTATCATTGCGTGATGACCGGTTTGATTAATTTCAACTAGGTATTGTAAAATTACTGAATACACCTAAAAAGTAATAAACAACAAATTTTTAAGTTTACCTGGGATAGTTCGATTCCATTCTTCCAATTTAATTTTGCAATACTCTGAGGTATTTTGAAACTGTGAATTTCCTTTTTCTTGTTTTAATGAAGAGGAAAGGTTTTTTAAATACATTTTCTCTAAAAGTTTCTTGCACTCAGCTGGATGAAGCTTCCTCGCTAAGTAATCTAGCTCAAGTGTATGGAAATCAGCCGCATAAGTAATTTTCCATATTCCCTGAAAATTTATGTAGAAAACAATTAATGACAATACGTTATTGATAAACATTGAATTATCTGAACACACGTAAGTAAATTACTTCCATAAAAAAGAAGAGAATAGTCCAATGTCGGGCAAATTTCATGGTACAAATAATTCATACAAAACAGGAGCACTTGATATATTTTTCTGTCATTCACCAGATTCTAACAATTGAGGAACGATTGTATTTGTGATATAATATCAACTTCAGGGTATGGGTTTATTGATTTACTTTAACCTTCTAAAAAATTATTTCCATGCACCATACTTCAGCGATATATTTGTGGATAATTGGTCCGGTGAGTTCTTACGATCATAGCGTTTTGTTAATTTCGACTGACTCAATCAATTGACGTTGCATGAACCATGGATTACAGATTATTGCTGTAAATATAAAACACATCTCAAAACACTCAATCGAATCTCGGCTCAGGAACCTTTTCGATAGGCCTAATTTATCTGAATATTCAGTAGTCCGTCTCGGCGACAATGAACAGGATGTTGAAGACAAAACGCCGCACATTCTCGAGAACTACCCTTTTGAACGGTATCATAAAATTTTGTTTCCCCTTAATGTTCCAAATTCTCTAAATATAGCCTTCAGTTGAGTGTCCTTCAGTTTCAAACCCGCAGACGGAGAAACTATAATAACTGAAAATATCCAGACTATCAAAAGCAACCATAAGAACATTCACCAGGGATCACCAAATAGAAGAAAAAAGGAAAAACGTGGAAAAAAATTGAAATATCACAAATTTACGATATGGTTGGCTGTTGCAAGTTTACTTATCACGTGCATAGTGATGATCACTTGTTGCAGTGCATTGTTCCCCCAAAATCAAATTATTAGGTGCATTCATATGATTAGATCGAGAAAAACATTAGAGTGGGTGAAAATCATTTGCAAATTCAATTTTGATTTCATTGCTCTCTCAGAATAGAAGTGTAATTTCGACATTTGAATAATGGCTTACTTTTCGGTAACAGTAAATATCTAAATATCGACTCGGAGGCTGGTCGGTGTCGAATAAGAGTAAAATTAAAGCAACAAAAGCCGCAATCTCCCGCAGTTACACGCGCACGATCATTATCCTATGATTGTCCTCTCGTTGCGATGCAATATAGCACAACAAGAATAGGCAATTCTGATGATACACCTTCCATCCAATGCTACACTTGCTGCAAGAAGAAAAGAAAGAAGGGAAAGAGGAAAAAAAAATTGAAGGATGTGCCCAGTCTCATCTGACTTCACTTCATATATAATGATGAAATTATTGTCATTCATTGAGAAATTCAACTCGGTGATTGAATAAATCATGTTATATGCTTTGTAGCAATTCGTATGGTCGACTTATTACAGTATATCAATAACGATGAGACTGTTACTGATAACTACAAATATACTACAGGTGTTCAGAGCTACTGTTTGCACGATTGACATTAATCTTTCGGAATTGGAGTATTTGGCTGCGCATTTGGATTCTTTTGAATGTCGTCGTTTAATCGCAGCTATGCATTATAAGACATATGATCTTCCTCAACTTATTGCTGGTGCAGGTTAGTGAGGAACTCGACTCATTCAATAATGCATATCTATATGAGGTATTCTAAGTTAAGAGTGGACAACCTCAACTCTCGGAGCTACTCCAGCTCCCGACCTCCATTAGCCAAAATTGTCCTAAGTCATAAAGTTTATGACTGTACGCCCTTCGGGCCTATGATACCCTGCAAAAACTTGATGTTGGGAAAGGGAAAATAGGAAAATTTTCAATTTTTCTAATGGAAACATTTTTTCAATTACTGCATTTTTCGCGGTTATTCTTTTGGTTGATTATTGGTTGTTTTTATTCGATTTTATGAAAAAAAATTATACCTTTCATAAATTTCTTGAAGAGAAAATATTGTTTGAAAAACAATGATTGAATATTATCATGTTATTAATAAACCTGACTTGACATGCGTTTTCACATTTTTTATTTATACATTTCCCTATCTCGGGGCCAAATTAAAATCCCCACACTTTCCACAATTAGAAACAATATCAGCGTCTGTTCATCTGTGGAGATATTGAACACATAATTTATTGAGGTAACCAATACAGATCGGTTCAGACTTTTTCTCCTGTAAGATCTCCCTCCAAATGTGTTTTTCACGTATTCGGCCTTTTTTTCCAGACAAAAGATAAAGGTAATATGATGTTTGAAATTCAATAGTTAGCGATGAAATTGAAAGTGGTATCATCGTAAAATTGAGAGAAGGAACGCTGAATTTGCCAATTTTGATTACCGTTAACGTTTTGATTCATTTTTATAAATCACGCGAAGTTGTTAAGAAAATAAAAAAATATGTCTTCCACATCTTGTCGAGGTTTCATATTCTAGAAACGTTCCTTTTGCTAAAAGCAAGGCAAATTTGACATTTTTTGACATCACGAACCCACTACACAATCACAATCAACTACACAATCAACATGACTATATATTGTTTGTATATCACGCTCTATGAGAGTTTATCGAAAAAGTGTAAAAGATTCCTCTTTTTCCAATCTGAACTCAATGATTTTTTATAAAAAAAATTCAGTGAATTAGTGGTACCAAAAAGGGAACTTTCTCCACAGGCAATCGTGGTTCTCTAATTTTATTTCTCTCAATTAAGGTTTGAACAGTTACAAAGGTGAAAAATTCATAATTGTACAATTATTTCGTATATGAACTTGAATATACTATTTGAATTCCCCCATGGGAAAACATTACCACATTAACCGATTAAACATCATTGATTTCAACATTGAATTTTGAGCACAAAATAATACCTTATTATCTTTTAAACGAACAATATCAGATCACTGAAATTATTATAATCTTTCGAATCACACCGACTATTTGACGGTATAATTTGACTACGTCGATTTCTCATCGTTTAGTTCAAAAAAATAGTTCAGAAAAAATTGAATAATCACATATCTCTCAAAACGGTGTAAAGAAATGGGAGCCCCACGATTTCATGTGGTGAAAATTCCCTCACTATATTTACGTAGTTACGCCCCCTCGCCCCTCCTGTACCGCATTTGCTGGAAGGGAGGGCAAAATCTCATTCGAAGGAAAAAACCTGCCCTGGTACAGTCATCCCTTTGACAGGAATGCCGTCCGACCGTGGAAATGTGCGATTAGAGCACTATAAAATTTAACCGCCGGTGCCCGGGATCAAACCCGGATCATTTGCATGCTAGTCTAGCACTCTAACCGCACTGCCACTACCGTCGGTCACAAGGAAATATATTTGATATTAGTAAATCTTATGGAAGTATTTACGCAGTGATTGCCAGATTAACTGATGGGAAGAACATGTATTTGGCAAAAGAAATTTTTTTTTCAGTGTATGGGAAACACTCCGGTGGTACAATTGAAGGGGGTAAGGGTTTCGTTGAGTTCACTCAGAACAGCCACATACCTTTATTGAGCAAAAATCACAGAACCCTGCAATATTTCTGTCAGTCCGTCACAAATTCCGATTTGGCTCGGAGTGGGGATTTTCGATCAATCTCTAAACTCTAAGTGCACTTTGATGATTGATTGTATATTTTTATATACAGCGAGACCGCCAGTGCGCTTCGCGCGCCGAATTTGAATTTATTCCGAAGTAGAACATGTAATATTTTCGATGGTGACTGTTCAAACAAAACGAACTAATTGATTGTTTAAATCAATTAGTAGAATTAATGGAATTGTTTATGTTGCCCGAAAATGAGTTAGTTTCGTTTCATCGTTATGATAAATGACGACATTGTTCCCAAGCAGAGTTATAAAGTTCGTTTTTGGTGACGATGTTGTCTCTGAAAAATGTAAAATTTCCCAAGACCGAAGTTGTTGTGGGAAGTTAAGTGTGCATGTACAACTGTTTTTATTCAATACTATTTGTAGTTCTGTCCGATTTTTTTTTGGACAAATGAATGGGGTCTGGGTGAAAAAAAATCACCATTCTGACCTCATTTACGGCTGATTTTTTATAAATACAATTTTGTTGTGATACACAGAAATTTGACATTTTCCAAATACAAATGCGTCAACAACTTCATGACTGTATTTGGGAACAAACCCTTTTGTTGGAATGATGTAATGAAACGAATCCATTTTCATTGCCATTACAAAAATCGGATGTGGTTTTTTGTTTTTGTCGTTGCATGCGATTGATTTCTGTCCACGACAATTAATTGCAATTGCAATATTGAAACTCATTTTACTTAGCAATCATTGATCATGATCAACCGAATAATTCCGTATATACATAATTTTTCACTGTATTACTCAACGAGCTCCAAGAAAAATTTTCAATGAACCCCACGATCGAACACGTGAAAATGCAACGTATAATTGACCGTGGTTGAAACATCTTTCCGAAGATCGATTCCTATTTCATCGAATGTTTGACCTTGGCTTTTATTGATTATCATCGCGAAGGCGGGTGTCAGTGGAAATTGGCGTCTTTTGAAGAAGAACGGGTAAGTATTCTCACAATACAGGGCTACACGGTGTATGAAAACTATTTCCCCTGCTTTATCACCGGTTAGAATCTGACAACGTAAAAGGTTGTTCGCGAGCTCAAGTACTTGTAATCGTGTTCCATTACAGAGTCCTTCATTGATACTCATGTGGCGTATCAGCATAACGACACAATTAATTCTTAATTTCAATTCATATGAGGGAAAATTTGGAGGATTCAAAGTATGGAGATATTCTGGGAGAATTTCATGACTTATGTCTCCGTTATCACAATCTTCTGCGCTGTCAATACTGGTATCTATCTTTTGATTTCTCCTGTTGAGTAACTCAATGACACGATCATTAATTTCGTAAACGTCTACATTCCGTGCTGATAGAATTGCCACTTTGGTTAAATCTTCATATCTCCGTTCATTAATAATGTTAGTGAATATGTCGACTGTATCAACAGATATTTGAGCAATGCACTGCTCTGGAGCTTGTATATTATTGTTATCATCGTTCAAAGTGCCATCTCCGACAGATAAAAGATATTTCGCAAATTCTTTCTCTTGAGGTAGAGCTCGCATATTTTCTGTTAAAGAAAATATTGTAAAGTGTTTCCACAATGAACTAAATTTAATAGATAAATCCACCAGTTCACTGCGCGTTGCATTTGATTTTACTGGAAGTAATTGTCGGAAGTCTCCACCAAGAATCATGATCTTACCGCCGAAAGGTAAATCATTGCACATAAAGTCACGCAGAGTGCGGTCAACTAATTCTAGAGCAAACCTCGGCGCCATTGAAGCTTGATCCCAAATCAAAACGTCGACTTCTCTTAAATATTTAGCTTGCTTTGACTGATTCTTGAAATTCAACACAGAATCATGGAAAATTGGAACAGGCATTCCAAACAATTTATGAACTGTTTTCCCTCGAGGAAGTAAAATCGCGGCAATACCTGTAAACGCCACCGTATGTAAACTTTTTTGTCTATAGCTCGTAATAAATTATAGAGAGTAGTATAGACGAAAGTTTTTCCAGATCCGCCAGGTCCATCTATGTAGCAGTATGCTGTTCGTGGTTCCTGTGATTCAACAACATTTAACAGCTCATCGACAATGTTTTGCTGTTTCAAATTTAGTTTCCCATATTGACTTTGACCAATAGTTCTGTGTTGTTTAAGTGGTATTTAATCATCACTTTCGATATTAATACTATAATCCAAGTCCATCAATTGTGGCATTATAGGAAACCGACTGATATCTGACCCTTCGTAAGATAGGAGCCGATTCACTTCAGCATAAGCTCTTTTTTCTGCTTCTGGTGCGCTGAACAGCCTTTGCAAATCTTGAGACATCGCTCCCTTATACTTTTCCCAGAGTACTTCGGTGTTGATGGGATGACAATATATCAAATGTAACGAGCATCGGGGATGCCCGTTAGGATCTCGAATAAAAATCCATAAAGAAATAATAATAAAGAGAGTGAGAGGGGAACGGTTATGTGTACGCGTTAAAATAACGATTAATTTCCCCCTTCGAGGTGGGTCCGAAATGAGTTAGATGGGTGGTGATTAGACGATATTAGGATTTTCCCCCTTCGGGGTGGTTCAGGGAGTTTAGGGTTAAGGTTAGGGTGAGTTTCAGGATCGGGTTAGGTCCAGCGAAAGACGCCGGCGCTCCAGGTGAAAGGGTTTAAGGGGCTGATTGGTACGGGTGGAAGGCCGTACGGGGTAAAAATATTAACAACCCCGACGGATTGC